TATATACAGCAGTTGTACTTATTTCATGCATGTAAAGAATGTGTTACAAAGGAAAATGCTGTGCTTCAGCAATTATATGGCATGTGTAGCCAGCAATATACATACTTCATGCTGCAGATAGTGCAGTTCATCATGGAGAAAATTTTCATAGACTGTATCGCTATGCCAACAAGGTGGCCCCTTCACACTATTAATTGTGTTGCCTAGTTACCACGTCTGACTAGGAGAATTTATCTTGACATTGGCAGGATACAAGAAACTTGGGGAGGGGGGTTTTAGATTATAAGGCGTTTGCAAGGCTAAAGACACACAAAGGACTGTGTGTGGGGCAGGGGGAAGGTATACCTAGTATGGCATAGTAGTATACATTGATCAGGGGGTTGAGCAAGGTTTCTGATTGTAAGGATTACAAAAACAGTATGCTTCTTTCATAGGAGCTACAGACCAGGGAATAACTCAAAATTAAATTAAGCTGGTAGTTTGCTAATTTTTATCAAAGCTGAAAAATAACTTGCCCTGCTCTTCTGGAAGATACCAGTACAGCACACAAGACATAAAGTCTAGCATCTCCATAGCAAAAGAGTCTTCTACTGATGGGTAATGTGTGTTTCCACACCACTAGTATTCCAAAAAGTTGGCATTAGAACTGGGGATAATGTGAAGCTTCTTGGCTTAACTGCAGATAGAATAAGTACCTATATTTGAGTTTGCATTAGCAGCTTGAAATTCCCGGTTCGGTAGTGCTCAGGTGGGATAGGGAGGGGAAGCACTAGGAGCCAATCAGGTATACTGTCTGGATATGTGGTGATAAGGAACATGCTCAGTGGAGGAGAGAGCGGAATGAATGAGGGGTGAACTGCTGCTGCTTCTTCACCGTCCACTGTTAGGTGATGTTTCTCTTTACTTAACTACAGCAAAGGAAAGTAAGGTCTCCAGGCTAGCCTTGCTGTCTTCTAGGGATATTTCAATCTCAGAACTGAGTAGACTCTCACTCATACAGTAAGTATATCAATGGTGTATATAGCTTTTCGCCTGGAGTTCAACTTTAAATGAAAAAATGCCTCCTATTCACCAATGTGTTAATGTTAAAGAGTGAAAACCCAAAGAAACTTAAGCCTATATATTCCTTATCAGTTCTTTGGGCTTGGTCACAGAGATTTTCTTTATTCAAAATAAATTGGAGATTGGCCTTAACCACTTGCCCTCCAGAGGATTTACCCCCCTTCCTGACCAGGCCAGTTGTTTGAGATACAGCACTGCATTACTTTAACTGACAATTGCGCAGTTATGCATTGCTGTACATAAATGAAATTTATGCCATTTTTTTCCCACAAATAGAGCTTTCTTTCGGTGGTATTTGATCACCTCTGCGTTTTATGTTTTGCACTATAAACAAAAAAGACCGATAATTTTGAAGAAAAAAAAATATGTTTTTGACTTTTTTGCTATTAAACATGTCCAATAAAAAAAAATGTAAAAATCAAATTTCATCATAAATTTAGGCCAAAATGAATTTTGCTGCATGTCTTGGCTATAAAAAAAAAATCCCTATACGTGTAAATTAATTCGTCACGTGAAAGTTATAGCATCTACAAATGGTAGTATATATACTGGAATGTTTATTTATTTTTTATGCTAGTAATGGCGGTGATCAGCGACTTATAGCAGGACTGCGGTGGGCATTCTGACACTCTGTGAGAACTAACTGCCACTGACATCCCCAGTGACACTAATACTGTGGTCAGTGCTAATAAAAAGCACTGACACTGTACTAGTGACACTGGGCAGGAAGGGGTTAACTTTTTGGGATCAAAAGGTTAACAGTGGTCTGCGCGTGTCTTACTATGTGTGCTGTGTGCTCTTTTACCTTGGAGACATGCTGTTTTGTATTTCTGTGCTGTGCAGAGAAATACAAAACAGCATGTCCTTGCTGGCAGAAATGAGACCTGTGCTGTTTACACACAGGTCTCTCCCCTGTTAGCTTTGCACGGCGATCACCAGGTGCTGGCTGGGAATCTCCGACCGGGGCCCAGTTATTGACATGCCTAGCCGCCATTCCCTACCTGGGAATGCAAATCATGTATATTTACGTAATTTTGTGCAGCCGTGCTGCCCTGTAGCAGTAGCTGTACTATAGGGCGGCGGGAAAGTGGTTAATATAGACAGACAAAAGATAATTAATTGAAAAAACATCTTTCTTGGCAGGTATAGCAATCCTAATCACGTATTTAAAGAAATTCTATATTCAGTAAGTCAGTATAGGATTAAATATAGGGAAGCAGTGCTTGGTGAACAGTAGAGAGCATGGAAGTTGAATTTCTATTCAATAACATTGTTTTAATTGTCACAAATACATTGTGTTTTGAAGTCTGGAACAATTCTCCATCTGTTGATTGAATCAAAGGTGTAAAGTGCTCTTAATTGTGCCCTGATTCCCTATACTGTTTGGAGCTCATTTTTATTTGGCTTGTCTTCTGGGAGAACCCATCAGATATTGGAAGTAGTATAAAGAGCAGGAATCGTGTAGCCTTTTTTTGTTTTGGAGGCATACCTGTGCTATGACTGGTGTTTTCATTTGTTTAATTTGGGGTTGGGTTGATATACATATGCTAAAAGAAAGTTAAGAAAAAAAAAAGAAACATTCAGTCTGGCATCTTCACCGTGTGTACCACAGGACCTTGTCACAGCACCTTAGTTCCCAGAAGGAAGGATAGATTTTGGTTATCATTATGTAATGACATCTGTTTGTTCCCATGCAGATTATGAATAAATCACAATCATTTAAGTATGTCACACAACCTCCCTCCATCTTGTTCAGTTTCCAGTGGACCAAAGCATGGTAATCTTAGAGCTGCCATATTTGCACTGCACCAGTCAATATATGCACAAACATACAAGCTTCAGTTGTATTAGCTTGTTGGGGGGTGGGGGAATTGTCATGATCACCTTGGGTGCCACAGGACCTTTTCCGATCACTGCATGCAGGAAAACACGTCTACAAGAACCAAGAACACCATACCCTATGCTATATGAGTGTTGATAGTACATTAACACTGGAATTATCACAAATGAAAAGAGGTGGTGTCTCAGTTCTAGGAATTAAGAGAATGCTATCAGCCATTCATTCTGCTAGATCTAATGACACATAGATTCAGACGCATAGCAAAGAAAATGTAGCCTGCAGAACACTAGAGACTAGACTAGAACTGACCATACTTAAAGATTTGATTATGATCTCTATACCCCCTTTTTATGGAGTGGTTTATACATACTTTATACCAGGTAAGATTTGAAACCCCATAGTATTTTAAATGCTCCTTACAGAACATCATCATTGCATAAACAAAATTGCTAGATTTTGTTTTAACAGCATAATGTGTACATACATTTATGTATGAGACAATTAGCTGAGCCCTGTTGTACATTTTCGGAGTTAAAGGACTTGTGGTTATCCTCTGGCAGTGTATTAATTGACTAGATTTGACCTGTAATTGTCTCTAGCTAAATATTTCTCACCCTAATGTTTTAGCAAGGTAATTTTGCACAGACTACTGAAAGGCCAATATTACCCAACAGCTTTTCATATTGACACTCATACATTTTTTTCCCAGTAATTTGCCCCTGGAGTGATACATTTAATATATGTCTATTACTATCTTGTTAATTTATTTTGTGTAATAGCACATACCTGCATGTGACCCTGGATGAATCAGTCATGGGATTATTGAAAAAATGAGAAGAGTGTTATTGTAAATCACTACTAAATGAAACAGTTGCCTCGGGATGATCACTTTTATTATATTTTCGAGGCCTGGGATAAGTATTGTTCCCCTACAGTTGTCAATACTTTGTATGTGTTGATATTATTTGCATTCATCCAAAAATAACATGTTCTGCATACATGTGCAAAATATTATAGAGGTTTACTAAGATTTAGTAGTAAATTGACAATGATTCCAAGGCCTTTATTAAATAACGATAAAAAGGGCAGTACAATGCAATTATTTTCATTGTAACAGATCTTGTATGGTAATAGCAGATTAAAAGGTTTATGATCAACCTGAACCCAAAGAGTATGTATGAGTGTCTGGGTAATCATGCTATGGGCATTAGGGTATAAAATTTATTGGAGCAAGAACTGATGAAATTACAAAAAAAAATTATAAATCAGGAAAATATATATAATAGTAGGGTCACACAGGAGATTTACATCTATCTTTGTTGATTTAATTGTTATGGTTTGATCTTGTGATCTTCTTCCCAAAGCCTACATGTAGTCCACTTAAATGAGGAAGTCAAAGATGTTTTCACTTGACATGGTCACAGGAGAATTCGATGCCTGTGATTTCATATATTCAGTCCCTGCAGGGGAAAGGATCTTCATCATCAATTGATACTGCAGTCTCCAGCTCAGTCAGGCTTTTAAAACCCTGTGATTCCCAATTTAAAAGAATCAGAGACATAAAAATATGTTATGGAAACTTCCTAAATAGCTGTGGAATTAATAACTATATTTGTAGCATTTATGTTTAAAAATGCCTTCAACAGTATTACTTCGGGTAACATATAAATTCCAATGGAGACCTTTCCATTTGAAGTAAGGGACTGTGTTTGTATCCTTCTTTAGAACCATAAATTTCATAGATTTAATAGAACAGCATTTTCTATTAGTGTTTATTTTCTATGCATCATGTTGATACATAGAAGAGAAAGAACATGAACATTGTTCAAGCCAAGGACGGTCTTAAATCATGCCTAAAGAATTCCAGTCACTTTCAGTGGACTAAGCCCAGGATGTCACTATTTCACGTCAGGTGAAGGACTGTCTTGTTTCTAGTTTTCATTTTTACCATCTGTTTCATTTTTTCCCCTTTTAGTTGTTGTTGTGTTTATGTGCACTGTAAAATAACATTTCAGTCCATAGCCTTAACACATTGTACAATTATTTTCGATGAGCAGCTCATTAATCTTGTTTTTATATATGTTGTGTTCTTTTACAGTCTCGGCCTATACCTTCACACCTCACCTCCGCTGTAGCAGAAAGTATCTTGGCCTCTGCTTGTGAAAGTGAAAGCAGGAATGCTGCTAAGAGAATGAGACTAGACAGGCAGCAGGTAACATTCTGCAGATACTTAACATGATGCACTCTTCTTATTGTGCAATACATAGGTATTCTCCAGCATATGTATTCTGCTTTCCCGTTCTATCCTTTCTTTTTTCCCTTTCTCCTCTTTCATTGCTTCATTTTCCTTCTCCAATACTTTGCTTTGTCTTCTCTTTTTTTTCTTTAATTCCTTTCCATTTGTATACTTCCTTTAGTTCTTCTATTCTACCTTCCTTGTCTCTCTCTCTCTATCGCACTGTCCTTCCAAAAGAAATTATGTCATCATTTATACTCAATGGAGCAGGTGGGGTTGGCTATAAAATTAGGGAAAAAAGGAATACCAGAGATAGAAAATGCCACAGCCCTATGATTTACATGGTGTGTACGCTACTTTGAAACATGTGATTTAGAGCATGCAATATACAGTTGTCTTCTTACATAACAATTAATTGTATATCAATATCAGGACAACATTATATTTGTGATATAAGATGTAATCTCTAATGTCTGCAAACAAAATCCTACATAAACCAAAGTAAAATTTGTATACAAAAACAATGATCTCTTAATATTATTATACATATAGTGGTACCCTATAAAATGAAATCTAATGTATAGCACAATGGAAATAAATCATGTGTAAGTGCCTCCTTTATGTGCAGTGTATATAAGCATGAAGCAAGCAATGGCAAACCAAGTGTAATAATTTTTTAAATGGGAATGTAGCAGGGAAACAATCAATATTACATAAATTAGTTAACAGAATTAAACAGACTTGTGTGCACTGTGGATGAAATTAGATTAAATAATCTTTGTAAACTTTTCTGTTATAATATACTTGAGAGTGTCTTCATGAGGCTAGTATGATGACTCACATTCCATATCAGCTTTATCCAGAATGTTCAAAGCGTACATTTTGCAAAGCCCAGAATTATAACTGTATAAATGGGACAGTACAGTGACTCACCAGACTGAACTTGCTCACTAAATAATACAAAATGCAATTAGAATTTTACTTGCCAAACAGCAAGAGGCTTAATATTTCCTACTACTGCATATGTGAAACATTTTCTATATTAGTATAATCACTGTCCTTGCTGATGATTATATTAGAAGGAAGTGTTCAAAGACACTGAAATATTGTCAGACTGCTGAATGCTTGGTTGTTGTATGGATACTGTTGTGTTACGGAGGAGCATGTGCACTGTGTACATGTGCCTAGGGCAGGGGTCTGCAACCTTTAAGACATAAAGAGCCACTTGGACCCGTTTCCGAGAGGGAAAAAAAGACTGGGAGCCGCAAAACCATTGCAACATTTAAAACAAATCCGACACTGCATATATTGCAAAAAACGTTCTGGTCATGAAGGGGGTTTAAGGGCCCAGTAAGCAAAGGGTTAATCAGGGCCACAGTGTATCGTCATAATCACAATCATAGCCTTAGGTCAGTGGTGGGCAACCTTTTTTTTCGACTGAGCCAAATCTCGCCAAAACCACGATTGAAATTTATTTTGAGAGAAACATTTTTAAAACTGAAAATACATCCCCCATATAGTAATTCATCCCCCATATAGTAATTCATCCCCCATAGTAATTCATCCCCCCTATAGTAATTCATCCCCCATAGTAATTCACCCCCCTATAGTAATTCATCCCCCCTATAGTAATTCATCCCCCCTATAGTAATTCATCCCCCGTAGTAATTCATCCCCCCTATAGTAATTCATCCCCCCCTATAGTAATTCATCCCCCCTATAGTAATTTATCCCCCATAGTAATTCATTCCCCATATTGTGTGAATTCACTTACCTTTGCTCCGCGCGTTCCTCTCGCTGGGTTCCCGCGCCGTTCTGGTCTTCAGGGCGGACTGTGAGAGGAGAGGAGCTCGTCACGCTGCCCCGCCTACATCCGGGCTGCCCCGCCTACATCCTGACAGCCAATGTTTGCCAGCGGGCGCCCGGCACACAGAAGATCTGCATTAAAAGAGCCGCGGCTTGCCGACCCTATTGCCTGTCACCTGGTGGGCAGTGTGCTCCGGAGCCGCAGGAAAGGTGAAAAAGAGCCGCATGCGGCTCCGGAGCCGCGGGTTGCCGACACCCGGCCTAGGGGTAGTAGGCTTGTCTTAGCAGCATACCATGGGCATGGGGCTCCCCTGGGAAACCTGCCCTGGTCTCCTGCTCTCCCTTGCTTGTGGGGGGAACTTGTCCTGGCTTAAGCTGTTGACAGTCCTTTGCACACCTTACACCAATGAAACTCGCTTTGCCCCTTGAGAATAGGTTCTGTTTCCAGGAGTTGTTCCCATATAGAGGTTAGGAGAAGGAGGAGACACCACCAGACTAATACCCCAAGAGAACTATCCTCCTCTCTTGTGTATGGGAATCGGTACCTACTGACTGACCTTTGCACACCTACTTAAAGCCTTAAACAAATTCACCCCACTGTGCTTCTTGGAAACAAGTTGGTTCCAGGAGATGTGCTTATATCGGGGGTTAGCAGAAGGAAAAATCCACAACAGAAATGCTATTTAACAGCTTATTGAACAGAGAGCTATTTACATACTTTAGCCACCCCAGAGGTGGCAGCACATTCCTTTTAAGTTGTAAACAATTTAAACAATTTAAGTTGTAAACAATGAAATGAGCAGTAACAAACAGTAACAAACAGAGTCGAGGAGCCCATAACTTTTTAGCGGGTTTGCCAGAGTCCTGCATCCCATGAAAAAAGGGATGTGAGTTGTCCCAACACTCCTGCAACCTTTCCTCCCTGCTTGACCCCACGCCCCCCTTCCCCAGAAGCTAGAGCTTTAAAGATTACATATTTTTTGTAGCCTGACCTTTGCAATGCTTCACATGCCAACCAACAAGCGGTCTTGTGCCAGACTGTGTATATATACTCAGTCCTCTTTCCCAGGATGCCCCACACTGACAGGGGCGGGACTGACACTGCCTTACTATCTATGGTTACACCCCACTCACTACTCCAGGGGTCTCTAGCATCTAACTAGGCAACTACACTGCCTATTCTAATTATGAGGGTTCCTGACCCTAACTATAGCCACATCTAGTAACCAATTTGGGGAACTAAACTGGAAACTCCTGTGTCACTATTGCACAGTGCTTGAAGAGCAGAAACTACATCATATGTTGCTCATAGCTTCTGCACAGATTCCTGCTCGTTTTAGTCAATTGTAAAATGACAGCCTGTATTTGCTTTGGTTCTTTGTGCAGTTCTTTTCCTTTTCTCTCTTTTTTATATATAAGACCTAATAATTACTTCCACTTGCTTAAAGAATAACTCAAAGACAACAAAATTAACATATTGTAACTTACAAATCCTTAGTGATGGTTGTATTAGTTTTCATTGTTCAGGCTAAGAACATTTTCAGCAAATACAGAAAATGATCTTGACAGAAATGCAGTGTCCTTCTCAGTGAAAGATTGCATCCAGCCTGAGAACAACACATTCATATACATTTAAAATACTATATAACAGTGCGTGTATGTATATATATATATATTATTATGGTGTGGGGTTGTTTTTCAGGGGTTGGGCTTGGCCCCTTAGTTTCAGTGCAGGGAACTCTTAAGGTGTCCACATACCAAGACATTTTGGACAATTTCATACTCCCAACTTTGTGTGAGCAGTTTGGTGATGTCCCCTTCCTGTTCCAACATGACTGCGCACCAGTGCACAAAGCAAGGTCCATAACAACATGGATGAGCGAGTTTGGGGTGGAGGAACTTGACTGACCTGCACAGTCCTGACCTCAACCCGACAGAACACCTTTGAGATGAATTAGAGTGGAGACTGCAAGCCAGGCCTTTTTGTCCGACATCAGTGCCTGACCTCACATATGCGCTTCAGGAAGAATGGTCAAACATTCCCATAGACACTCTTCTAAACCTTGTGGACAGCCTTCCCAGAAGAGTTGAAACTGTTATAGCTGCAAGAGGGTTAGGCCAACTCTATATTGAACCCTACAGACTAAGATTGGGATGCCATTAAAATACACGTGCATGTAAAGGCAGGCATCCCAATACTTTCAGATATATATATATATATATATATATATATATATATATATATATATATATATATATAAAATCAAAAGTTGAACATGCTAAATGGAATTTAGTCACAGATTAACGTTATCACAACACAAACTAAGCCACTGGTTTTAGTAGGGATTATGTATTGTGCTCCATAAACCACCCAATTATCAAATAAATATATGTAAATTTTAGGTATTAAATGTTTATGGTACTGGGGATCTGCAGCTCTAAATACATATGCTACTAACAAACTCAAAGGACATATACAGTATACAGAGAGTGCAATAGTACCCTCTGCTCACCACTTTTGCTGCAGTACAGATACAGATTTTGCTTAGCAATTTTAGGCTTGTGGCCTCTTTGTAATAAAATTTGGCCCTACAAAACTTCCATTTAGGATTTTCTCTTTGGCATAGCAGATGTGAGACATGTTACCTTACTGGGATCTTGCTGGATGACATTGAGCGAGTGCAGTTATATTTTCACAAACTGAAACAGAAAAGTCCTTTTTTCCTTCTTGATTCTTTCTTTCACTGTGTAGGCTCTGAATGTTCTGCATGCATATCTAACATTAAGATCTTAGAAACATTTGAGTCATTAGTCCAGACATAATTCTGTGTCCTGAATGTTAAAGTACTGAGACTGTCCAGTATGTTGCTAAGGTAACTCTTTGACAGTCTCTAAATATCCTTCTTAACACTCCCATCCAGAACACAGCCATTGTTTCAGTCTTCTGTCTCAATGTGGTAGAAATGACGGTGCTGCAAGGTTGCCAGAGTTTTACATAACAGCCAAGTCAGTTTGGAAATATTTAGATAGGTGAGATATAAATGCATAAAAGGGAGGTTGACTATTTGTACAAAGCAAATTTTGCTATGAATCAAGCTTTGCAGCATTTCATTTGTACAGTGCTGTTTGGATGATAATTATTAGAGATGAGCGAATCGAAGTAGGCGAAG